GATGATCTCAATCTCCTGACCTCGTGATCTGCCCGCCTCAGCCTCCCAAAGTGCTGGGATTACAGGCATGAGCCACTGCACCTGACCCTTTTATATTCTTTTTAAAAGTATTTACTGTATTTCCCCATGATGTCACAGTCTTTACATAAAAATAACAATCATTATTTTCAGTCAACATGATTGTTTACCTAAAAATATCCAAAGGAAACAACTGAAAAAAACCAGTTTTTAAGATTATTGGTTAAAAGCTCTTTTATATAAAAACCTATAGCCTTCCCAAATGTTAGCTATAATCACATAGAAGATATAGTGATGAAATATATTTTCAGGTATTTCAGCAAAAATTAAATATATAGCAATAAACTTAGATGTGCAGGACTTTTATCAAGTACATGACAAAATTTTGCTGAGTGGAATCAAAGATTTGCATTCTATGTTCCTGGATGAGCAAATTTCATGTTATAAATATGTTAGTTATCACCATGTCTTTATATTAATTTATAAATGTAATTTCTGCTGGGCACAGTGGCTCATACGTGTAATCCCAAAAGTTTGGGAAGCTGAGGTGGGTAGATGACAATTAGCTGTGTGTCTGTGGCACACACTTGTAGTTCCAACTACTCCTGGGAGGATCACTTGAGCCTGGGATTCAGAAGTTGCAGTGAGCTGAGATCATGCCTCTGAACTCCAGCCTAGATGACAGAGTGAGACTCTGTCTAAAAAAAAAAAAGGTAGTGAGTGTGTACATATATATTTACAAATTTCAGTACAAATTCCAGCAGATTTATTTTTGGCACTTGCCAAAATAACTCTAAAGTTTGTTTAGAAGAGTAAATTTTAAAAAGTAATAAAGTATAGACTCTCAACCAGATATTAAGTAAAATACTGTGGACCAGCCCTGGGCCAGACAGATAAAGGCAATGGAAGTTTAGAACCAGAGTCATGCAAACGAGAATTTAGTATAAGGAAAAGATGGTATTTTAACTTATTTGTCAAAATAAGTTAGAGTTGGTTTAAACACATCTATTCTGAAAATTAGAACAGAAGAACATCGGTCTGAAGATATTTTAAGAGTGAAGGCTGAGGCTGGGGACACTGGCTCACGCCTTTAATCCCAGCACTTTGTGAGGCCAAGGTGGGAGGACTGCTTGAGCCCAGGAGTTTGAGATCAGCCTGGGCAACATAGCAAGACTCTCCCTCTCTCTAGATATAGACATACCTATAAATATACATATACAAATACAAAAAAAAAAGTTAAGTGTTGTCTGGAGAACCATGAAGATAAGAGGTAAAAATTAAAGGCTTGATGGACATATGTTTACATCTCCAGCAAGGGAGTTGATGGGAACGAATGATAGACATAGCTCCAATACTGCTACCTCCTTTTAGGAAGTTGCTTCTGAATATCTAAAGATAATAGTTTTATAATAGCAGAAATGAGTTATTTTTCAGTGTCTAAAACATTACATGAGATACATACATAAACATGTTCATAAAGTTAAATGAAGTTGCATACAAAATTTGGTCTAGTGTTTTAAAAAGTAAATATATTTACATGAAAGAGAAAACAACTCACCTCCCACTCTTAGAGCCTCTGCCAGTTTACCATAGCCTAGTTTCTGGAGAGAATAAGCTACGTGTCTTCACCTTTTTTCACTGAGCTCATTATAATCTGGATTCTGCCTTCATCATGGTGCTAAAATTTATCTCCCAGTTGCCAAAACCGGTGGCTCCCTTCTTAGTCCCCAAAATGACCCCTCTGCAGTATTTTGATACTGTTGATTGTTCCCTTGTTGAAACATTCCTCCATTCTTAATGTCCACCAATAAAGAGTTGGTTAAATAAAAATTATAGTGTACATTTTATAACAGTTGTGGACCAAAAAAATGCAGCCATTCTTTCCATAGAGCATGTGCAAACTTCTAAGATATATTCAGTAAAAAAAG